GGGGGGGGGGGGGGGGGGGGGGGGGGGGGGGGGGGGGGGGGGGGGGGGGGGATACTACTGTTTCAGTCACCATGGCGGTGTGAAGAACACATCAACCCTAAATATACAGCACGAACAAAAGGGGGTCGGGGGTGGGGACGGAGGTAGGTGCAACATGCTGGAGGAGGGACAGTGGTCGGGGCTTGTCCAACGCCCGGAACCCGTACACCACACGTTGCACAAGAAACGTCACCCAGGCGTTGCCACTACATATACCTGCGCTGGTGTGGTGTCCTTCTCTGTGGCTAACGCTCGAAACTCTGTTACTATCCCTAGAACGCAGCAGGCAGAGCCAAGACGGCGACACCAACATCGCTTGATTTGCACATGTCGGTAGCAACGGTAAAAGCGTTGACACCAAGGAGGGGGCAAGGCCAGTCCCCCCGCACCCCGTACCCAAAACTCAGAGCGCGACTAAGCAGATCCTTTCAACGCACCCGTCCAGAATGTTTCCATACAACGATCAGAACCGCGCCTACCTTTGACACGTGTTGTGACGAGGTTGCCGCCGCGTTCGGCTTCGGTTTCGGTCTCGGGGGAAATGAAGAGTAGGCGTTTGCGACCACGGAGGTCGTGGCACCGCGAGTGTTGCTCGTGGTTGCGTGTCTTCCCTCCAACTGATGGGTGGTTAGTTACAACGTTGTACAATACACCGGAGTGGGGCAGGGGCGCCGGGGTTGAGAAACCTCATCGTTGTGGATGGATTTTTCCTGCGAATTTCACCGAAGCTATTTAGGCCGTTCCCGGTAAACACGGGCAAAATTGGTGTTGTGTGCCATTTTCTTTCGTTCTCACGTCCTTGCCTCATCTCGGTTGCACCGACAACACACGTTTTGGTGAAAAAGTATGCGAATGGAACCTACCGTGTTTCTACGTCTCCCCACCTGAACCTGGCACATGAACACGGCACCGTCCCCTGCGGCGGTGAAGAAGTGCTTACCGTCCGCCGTGAGAGCGAGCGAAGTTATCGGCATGCTGTGGAGACAAACCTGCGAAGTGAAGGTTTTCTCGTGATTGTTTGTCCTTGTTTCTTTCGGTGGTTGTTGCTATTACTTAAGCTAGAATGTGCGGTGAAACATCCAGGGACGTTCTCATGTCCCTCTGCCGGTTCGGGTCCGGCGGTAAAAATAACTCTTCCGCAATCAAACGGGTACACTCTCGTTTAAAACACAACCGACTTTGTGGACTTCTCCTTTCCTGTCGAGCCCGACCTGTAGGGCTTCCAAACATCATCCACGCCTCGCGTTCACCTGCGCGGACGGCATGAGCACTCCGCCCTTCTCCCCCCGGTTCCCTTTCTCCTCGTCGCCGGCTGCGCTGTCCCGGAGCAAGCACCCCCAGTCGAACGCCACCGCCAGGCCCCCCTTCGTCCCCGCCAGGAGGACGTTGTGCGCCCCCCAGTAGCGCGTCTCGAACGCCGTCGCCCGGACACAGGTAAGCCGGTGCGGGACCCGTACCTCGAGCCCAGGCTCGCCAGAGATGGGCTCCAGCTTGGGCGGCCAAACGAAGAAGGATGAGGAGGACTGGCATCGATCTCCGAGGCGGGCGGCGTCAGCGGTGGCCACCCTGCTCCCGCCGCGCAGGGCGGCGGCAGCGGAGGAGCCTCGGGGAAGCAGCGAGACGGGCGCGGTGCTCCCGCCGGTCGTAGCGCAAGTGCTGGAAGGTTCCAAGTGCCGCCTTTTCGAGCGGCGCTCGCCAGAGGTTGTGTTGCTACCGCTGACCCCGGCGGCTTGGAGTTCGACCGAAGTATTGCCGTCGTTGCCGTTTGAATTGGTTCGTTTGGGAGCAGTCCCGACGTGGGTACTGCAGTTCTCTGCCGCGGGAGTCGCCGATGGCAGCCCGCTGCCGCGCTGCGATTTGCCGCGGGCGCCAACATCGAGTTTGCTCATTGTGCTGCGGCTGATCTTTCGCTCACCATCGGCATCGGCACGATTCTTGTCGTCGCCCCCGCCCTCGCCGCCGCCACCGCCGCCTGCGGAGACGCAACAGGCGACCAAGCCACCGTCGAGGGTAGGGTCGGCCACAATGCCCTCGAACGCCACCCGCTTATTCAGGAACTCCCCGCGCCTTACCTTGTCTGTTCCAAGGGCGCCCAATCCTGAACCCACCTGTGGTTGATAGGTCCAAGAATTCCCCAAGAATGCATAGCATGTGACTGTAAGGGCTATATATGAACGATGACTGTCTCCGGTTGGTTGGGGTTGTTTCTTACACTTCTGCAGGCCAGGGAATCAATCCCGTTTGACCGCCGTTGACCGTTGGATTCCAACTGCTCTCGGTAGAAGCGTTTTCGGCGGCACCAGTGTGATGCGATAGGACCAGCAGACTTCGCATTCGTTTTGAATGGCGTGTTGGGAAACCTGGTCTTTTCCCGCGGTCACGGTATGTGAAGTAGTATCCCTGCCGATGATTGAACCATCCCCAAGACAAAGAGTACCGTCGATTGGGTGACGATACTGACCCCCAACCGGTCTTAAATCGAACCGTCGCTTGTTCCGCACAACAAGGAACAACCAAGCGTGTGCCTTGCGAGCTTCGCCCCTCATGTGACGGAGCCCACAGCCGAGCCTAACCTTCGCACCCTCTCCTTCCCAACAGCAGCAGTTGGCCTCCAAATTCGATTCCATCGCGTAGACTACACTGACGCTAGAACTGCATCTCATCGTTTCTTACCTCCCACTCGAAAATGTAACCGTCAGCCGCCGTCCAGCAGCGCCGGTTATCCGCCCCCCAGCAGAACGCCGACACATCGGAGGCATGCCCGGAAAGGGTTTGCACCCGACCGAGGCGTCCCCCGGCGGTGCCGCTGTGGACACCCAGAACCTGCACAACCTGGAGCTCGATTCGAGAAAGCAGGGTAGAGGTACGGGAGGGGGGGCGGCCGCGGGAGGGAACATGGTGAGGTTGACGTGGAGGAGTGACGGGTTGTATGCCGATTCCGCCGGCGGGTCTTTCACTCGACGGGTAACGTTTTCCCGCACCACGGAAGTCGACTAATCCGGCCCTTCACGCTGTCACCCGAAGGCCTCATTCATCCAACAGCTCCTCTGTGATAGCGCTCCCCTCGTGAGACACGTCGCCACCTGACCTTTCCCGTGACCACGGCGATCAAATGTCCTCCCGGTGAGTAGTGCACGGCGGACACGGGTTCGCAGTTGATGATCGGCTCTTGTTCCCCGGGCACGCTGAACATCCCCTTCGTCAGGATCTCCCGCTGGTCCGACCGGAGCGTCGCGAGCGGGGCCATCTCCACGGCAGCGACCGCTTCGGCCACTCCTAGCTGCCGTAGCGACATCGACAGCGGCTCCTTGGACGCGACCGGGTCAGCCACGCCGCCATCCCCGCCGCCGGGGGCGTTGTCCTGGTCTCCGATAGGCTCACCCCCGCTCCCGACAATGTAGAACACGTTCACGCAGTGGGGAAAGGCCACCGCGATGGAGTCTCCCGACGGGTGGAGGGAGATGGAAACGGGGCACGTAGCACCTTCTTCACGCACCCCCCCAGCGTCCGTTCCGTCACTCCCCCCCTGATCGTCTCCGCCCACGACAACGACACTGCCCAGGAGCTCGCCGGCCTGTGCACCGCCGCTACCAGAAGAGCAATCCCCTCCAAACCGATGTCTCACCACCAACCGCTTCGTGCGGTAGTTCCAGATCTGGATCTCGGAGCTCCCGTCGATGCCACCTGCAGAGGCACCGGCGGCCGGGTGCTGCTGTTGTCGCTGTCGTTTCTTTCGAGGCATACCGTCGTCCGCCTTAGGGTCGTCGGCGGCGCTACGGCTCTCATCATCGGCGTCGCTGGACTCGTCCTCGTCGAGGTTGCGATGATCCTCCGCCCTCGCCGACATACCTCCTCCTCCCCTCGCGATCGCAGCCAACAGCGGCTTTCTCGCGCACACCGCTAAGCAACTCAAAGAACCTCCTCCTCCTCCCTCACCCAGCATACCCCTCACGCGCAATGCTCGAGCCACCGGGCGGTACTGAGGATTGGCCTTCACCTTCCCTCCCGTCTCCCTCGAAGCAGAGCTCGGACCCGCCGAGACCGATGCGCTTCCCCTGTGGTTTCCGCCCTGCTGTCGAGACCCGGTCCCGGTCGAAGCCAGTTCCGCGTCCGCAGCGGCTCGGAGAGAGTCCTCGAAGGCGTCCATCGCCTTCGCGAACCCCCGCGAAACGACTTCTCCGCGGCCGTCGGCGGAACAACTGCTCGTCTCGAGAGCTGCCCCCGCCGCTGCTGTTGCCGGGGCGTGACCGCCTCCACGGCAAAGGCGGGGGACGGGGGATCGTTTCTTCTGGTCTGTTGTTGGCGGTCCGGTTGTCCCGCTGGTCAGGGTTGCCCCTCCTTTCCGCCTCGAGGGCCCGCCGCCCCCGCCCCCTGAAGACGTGAGGGAGTCGCCGTCGGGAACGGCGCTGAAAATGTCGTCTGTGTCGAGCAGCCCGATCTCGCCGTCCTCTCCTCCTGCCAGGAGCTGGGACGGTTGGCCGGGATGGATAATCGGTGGTGTTAATTTTGGGACGACAAGGATGGTTGTCGGGTACAGGCGGATATAGGAAGGCTGCCGGATATAGGCTTGCGTTAAGACTCAGTACGGAGAAAGACAATCAGGGGGTAAGAAACAGCGAGCGACAACTTGACGTTGACTACTTCGCTTGTGAGAATATGGTATCGTTGAAACAATATGCCGTGGCTGTTCTGACCAGCGTTTCCTGCAAACACCCATGCCCAAACGTACCAGCCACCCTGCAACGCAGCACCACGCTGCTCCTGAGACTATATCACCCTTCTGCCGACGTACCGACGAGGCCGTCTGCAACCCGTCGGGCAAGCCGATATCTCCCATCTACCATGTCGGATGAGCGATGTTGGACCGCGCCATTCATTGCATCGGGCATAGCCACAAAAAATATGCATGCATCCCGCGGTACAATGTAACAGCTTCCTACCCTTCCCGTGCGCAATCAATGCCCTGCCCTTCGGGTGTAGACCTCCAAGCGACCTCTTCATCGGCACGGCACGCCAGTTAGACGACGGTATTTCCATATTCACCCACCCAACGATAGTCCGGCTCCATGGTGGGCCTGAGCTCTACAAGGCCAACGCCGAATATTCGCACTACGCGGGCTAGCGCGTACGTTTCCCTGCCGCCGCTGGCGCCCCCCGCCCTCGTTTCCTGCTCGAAGACTAGCACTTGTCCGTGACTACCCCCGACGAAAAAGCCCCGCCGATGCGTTGCCACGACGTTGAGGCTTCCGCCATGCACACCTGTGGCGATGGCGGGGTCAATCACCTATTTAGAGTCAATTCCGTCGGGTAGAAGGTACAATTCGGCAGGGTTGATGGCCTGTTTTACTTGACGGCACAATCTTTAAGGGTGTTCATCAGCAGAGGGAGCACATCCCAACAGCCGCGACCAATGCCGAACCACAACCTGCATCGGTGAGTTCGTCAGCATAGCAGCAACAACACGGGAGACTTCAAAGTCGAGGTATACTCATGTTGCACCCAAGGCAAAAGCCAGCACCCTAGCAGTCTCCTCGTGTCATGTTTCTCTTGCTGGGATATGTAGCGCGTGTCGAAGTCAACCAGCTAGACCCAACACGAGAAACTCCGTGTATTTCGTTTGGACACAGCAGCAGTCTACCTGCAGACAGAGTGTCGTCCGTTCCGACCGAGCTAGCAGAATCGCCGGCCCCATCGCCGTCAGGGGGAAAAGAACAAGCGCCTAGCCCATCAGAACGACCCAAGTCCCACTCTTGAAGGACCTCATTCGGCGACATCAAGGTCACGGTACCCTCGTGGGCGGCCAGTACCAGGCGGCCGGCGTTAAGCCAGGCAACGTCCCTGTAGCAGACATCCTGTGCTCGCGATGGGCAGGAATAAGGAAATGGTTTTCAAGCGATGTGAGGTCAGTGGTGGAGGACTGAGGAGACTGTCAAGTATTGCTGAAGAAAAAAGTTAAATACACGAGGAGCAGCAACGGGGTGCCCATCTCGGCGTGAAATGATCAGTCTTAGCCACGGGCAGCGCCACTCGTTTCATTGCCCTTCCCAACCCCGGTCAACTCACTCCTCGTAAGCCTGGGATAGGGACCATACACGAAACTTTGCCCCCTTGTTGCGTGCTCCATATCCTGAACAGACCGTCAGCTCCCGCGGTGGCTGTCTTGCTACTATCAAACGGAGAGCAGGCGACCCTGTTAATTGGACGAACGGATACAACGCCAGAATTCAAGCAAACAGCCTGAGATAAGAGTGTTCATGATACAGCGTCATTGAAGAGAAACGATGCTTTTAAACAACTCCGCAGCCATTGCTCGTCGGTCGATCCATTGCGTATCGGGCATTGGTACCTGTGCACGGGCGAGTCCAGCTGCACGGTAAACACCCTCTTCCCCGTCTTCCATTCGAACCAGAGCAAGGTCCAGGCCGGGCTCCCATCGAGAAGTGCGAGAATCTGACCATCGTGAGAGAACGTCGCCGTCGCGAACTCAGCGGTTGCAGATGGGAGGACCGGCGGCGGCGGAGAAAACCTGCCGCAGCCTAAATCGCCAGTCCCGCCTGAGGACGCTTTACTGCAGGAGGAATCGTGCCGGCGACTACTCCTACTGCTGTTGCTGCTCCTGCTCCTGCCCCCCGAGCGCAAATGACTCTGCTGTTGTTGGCGTCTTGGTCGTTCGTACGAGAGAGTCTTCACCCGAGAAGCGCGTGGCCGCGAGGGCATGTGGTACACCGTGGCGTACGCGGCGGTTTGATTCGGGTCTTCCTCTACGACGGCCTTGTAGCACGCGGCGACGAACCGCCTGTCTGGGCTGCAGGCGACGGCGGTCACGCGAGCCACGCGCAACCCTGTGCTGAGGAAGTCAAGCCTACTGCTACCGCTTCTGCCATCGTTTGCGCTGCCGTCGGCGGGGGCTGTGACCGCTACACGAGAGCCGACGACGTAGACGACTCGTTCTTCATCGAGCGCGCAAATGTTGTCTCGGACTTTGTCCGGGCACGAGCCGAACGCGTGAACCACCTCGATTGGAGGGGCGCAACTCGCAGAATGATCTTCGCCGCTATGCGCACCTGTAGCCATGCTGTGTCGTTCGACGTAGCACTTGCAGCAGCGTTGAAATAGCACATGTTCCTACGAGCGCGAAAAAAAGCCCTATGAAGTGTAGGCGGAGATGAAGAAGTCGATCAAACATCAAACAAACATGTGCAAGCCGACAGTCCCGCGGAAACCGCTGTGCTTGCGCACACATTGTGTGGAGGCGTTCCTTTCGTTTCTAAGACAACAGGGGGGCTGCAGCTAACTTCAGTCGCGAGTCGCGAGGGCAAGGAGAGGGGGGGTTCGGCATACCTGCGTCTTTGGGCACACTCTGCCACACCACGTTGCTGCGACACAGATATAGACGGAGAAAGGCAGACAGCCAGCCAGCTACAGCGTGCTCTTTTGCGTTTCTGTGCGGAGAAGATGGGTGGCAAAAAGAAAAATTAACCGAAAGTGAAGTTTGGACGTTGTACCTTGTGGCGGGTATTTCGTCTACAGATACAGGAGTAGCTCGTGACCACAGAGGAAACGATTTTCGGCGGTGTACTGCAGTTCAGTTCAGTGCCTGGTGTTGGGGTGGGGAACAAAGAAGAGGGGGCACAGTCCTAATGGCGGCCCGCTCATGAGAAACATCCTCCCTCAAGACAAGTTGAGGCTCGAGTCCTTGAACTAATGCACTAAATAGGGCTTAGCGGCCGGCACGACACTGCCTACCTCCCGTATTAGACTATATGATGGCTTAGCAATAACCTGCGTTCAACCGGTGAGATGCCTCAATACGAAATTTATTCAGTATTCTTACCAACGTGAAGATACCACCGTGGCGGGCGTCACCGACATAGTCCACCGCCGTAATTTTAATTTTTGCGTATTCCGCCTGCACAAGTCTGTACCGCCAAAAAACGCGTCACCGCATGCCACCGAAACCCTACCATCTGTCAATGACGTCGCAAAATTACCTCCAAGTTTTTGTTTTACCGCCTCCGCCATAGCCGTTACCGCCAACAAACGCATTACTACCTACCGCCAAAACAATTACCGCCAAATGGCCTTACCGCCGAAAACTTGTCCGCCTAGAAAACCGGTACCGAGTAAACCCTTAGTTATTGGAGCCTGGCTCAAAAAAGGACGATGCCACAGGGTCGTGAAGACTCTGGGGTGGTGCAAAACGTCAAAATGTTTTACAAATTTCCAATATTTTAGTCCCAGCTTTCACGTTAGATCTATGCCTGCTGTCCCCTCGCCCACATTTCGTTCTGTACGGACCAAACACTAGATACGACTGCTGTACTTGGGGAGAGAGTCAACGCTGGCTAGCGTCCGCCTTCAGCTTACATTGCAACGAATCGCACTCCCCGTCTGACTCTCAAACCCGCACCTACGATGCTTCTACTTTCTTTCCCGTTCTGCACACTTGTACAAAGTAATCCTAGCCAGTACCGGCTGGGAATGCCATCACGGCTGGAAATCCGATCACGAGATGACCCGGTCACACAAAACAATTGGATACAGTGTGTGATCCTCCTCCCGACCAATCACTCAAAATACAGATGAAATGTGCATACTCCGGATAAAAATACGAAAAATTAGAAGAACCTAGAGGATTGGTTTGCTGCAGCCAACCCTTGGGGTGTGCGTGGTGGAAAATACATGGGTGATCTTCCAGGCAATTACAAAACGCCCGAATCCCAACAAGCCGACAACATACAAGTGAGGCAAAAGGCGCTATAAATGTGCTTCTAAACATCAGTAAATCGGACGCCGATGTTACATGGGAACACATTTTCCATCGGTCACAGACCAAGGTGTGCCCAACTGTCCAGGCGCCCCCACTCCTCTGGCCCCCTTATCAACAATAAAAGAGCAACCACGCACGAGTAAAAAAGATAACCCCAATGACAACCCCCCCCCCCAGTGGACGCAAGGGTAAACTGTAAAACCATCGGCTATCAAAACCGGCACGTGCACAGGTGGCACATTTCTTAGCTCCCGAAGCCCATGGCTTGCAAGCACGTGACGAGTTCGACCCATCCCTGGGCGGCGTCGTTGGCAAACTCGCTCTTCTCGGCGGCGTGCGTCCCCGCCGTCTGTCGAGCCATGGATACACACGGGTAAAAAACGAGGGATGCGGGGTAGTGGGATAGGGTTAGGGCAGTCAAAGGAGGGACGCATTGGGATGGCATGATCAGGAGTAAACGGAGGGGTGCGGGGGTGGTGGCAACAATGCTTGACGGACGCGGCTTCTCTCTCAAATCCAACGCAAGATCGACAATCAAGAATAAAGTATGTCAACTTCCTCCGATGCGTTGAATACGGAGTGTTCGTGAGTGTCATCGTCCTCTCGGGGCTCGGGCTGAGTTTCGGCGGGAGGCATCAAACGATTTATTCTCCGCCTGCATGCACGCACGGCCGCGTGATCGGGACAGCACGCCGAACGAGAGCTTGGGGCCAATCTTGAAGAATACAACCCTTTCCTTTTTTCGTCGTTGAGGGGTCTTACATCCCATGAGCGAGAGAACGGCGCCGTCAACATCCATCCGCCTATGATCAGAGTCGTCGAAAACTGCACGCGCTTCTGCTGCCGCGTAATCGGCACAAGTGATGTGAGACAGCACACAGATATTCCAACTGTTGTTGGATAGTTGAGGTTCGCCGGGTTCTTCGCGAAGGAAAAACGCGGGCTGTGTGAGCTGTTGATCTTGGGAAACGTCACAGCCAACTGGCAGCCAGCAGCGGGCTGGTCCTGCTGCTCGCTTTTGCTGCCATTTTGCATCACCCCTTGTTAGCACCATAGAGCGAGCCCACTCCGGAGGAATCACCTGTACCACACTAACCTTTCCGCCGAACACCAGGGACAGGATAATCCTCTCTGGGTTGGACTCCACCCTGACCGCGGAGGGATTTCCAAACCCGTTGGCGATGGCGTGCTGCACGGAACAGAACGGAAGGGGAGGGTAAGGGTAAGGGTAAGCTCGAGAGCGAACCCATATACCCAAGCGGATGCAACGCGTACCCCAGACTCGAAAACTTTGCACGAGAGCAAGCCGATGACCACTCTCACTAGGTCGGGCCCGGACACTCAACAGGCAGATCGTGTTACAGCGCGAAACACCGAAAGGAGTGCGAAAGTAACAGCAGCAACGGCAGCATCGATGGAAACAACAACAGCTGCAGCAGCACTGCAGCAGTCCATCTTCTCGATGATTGGCCAAACAGCGTTTTGATTCCCCTCCGAAACTCGTGAACCAATAATGCGTCAACTTTGAACAAAATAAAACACTTCACGAGTGTCCAGCCGGGGACTCGGACCCCACGACTAACCTTACAGAAGTCGAAATAAACCATTACACTATTCAGCGCTGACTAGGCTAATGCTTTGGTTTCAGCTTCTAAAAGTCACTACCGTACCACCACGCCCACCACAACAGCACCAGGGGGGGAGCGCAGACGACCCAAACGCTTTGCCATCCCACCTTCTCCATGAGCGCCAGCACTTCTTGCAGGTTTCCTCTGTTTTCGTGGGCCAGCAGGAGAGTTCCTCCCTCCCGAAGAGCGGCGGCCGCGGTGACCATGAGATCCCTTACCTTCACGTCCATTCGTGGCATCCACTCAGATTTCTTCGGCTGAGATTTTTTTTTTTTTTGCGACATCGCGCGAGAGTTTTAGGCGATGATCGTTGGGTGCATCAGAAGTCGTGCCCGTGATACATATTTCGGCGACTCTTTTTCCTGGGAAAAACGTATTCATGCGGAGTGTCCTAGACTAGCTGTCGTTGATTTCTATTGACTTGCGGACCCTTCGGGTCCATCATATTTTCGTATACCTTCTTTGGGTAAGTTAGCCTGTGACCACGGGAATCGACCGCGTCAAGTGTTAGACTACAGAAGAAGGTGGGTAGAGAGAACGGAACGGTTGTTACTGTGAAGACAACAACAACAACAACAACAACATTCATGCATACCATCAAAGAGAGACTCCGTTCGAGAAAATACCACAGCAGTCAAAGGTCGAAGGGGGCGTGCTGAAGTTTTTTCAGCAGTGAGTGGAACAAAACAGCGACTCTTGCAGTTGAAGCGTTCGGAACGATATCACCCGTAGCTGTGGGTGGCTGCCGGGTGATGCTTGTAACTGCGGTGAAGCCGTGGTCCCCCAGCATAGGCAACTAGGTTAGCCGAGCAAAACGAAAAATAGGGTAGGATGGGATAGGATAGGATAGCATGTGTCCAACCCAGAAAAAAAAAAGAACAGCTATGTGTTGCGTCTACCCGATGATCCGTTCATCTTGTCCGTGCAAGTCCATAATAAAACTACTGCCCAACTTCAACACACAGCAGAACAAAATAATGTACAGCCTAAGCCCCCCGCTCTTTTCACACAGCAGCATGAATAAAGGCACAGTAAGTGCGGTATAGTAGTCGACACCCCCCCTCTCTCTTCACAAAGCCGGAGGAAGAAGGAGGTGAAGTCCCTTAGCCCCCATTGCTCTTGTCCAGTAGCCTTGGCAAGATTTTCCCACTAGGATAACATGCCAGATTAAGGATGCAAACTGGGGGGTTGGTTTAGGCTCTACGTACCCTCTCCCTTTTCTATTTCCTCATAATTAACCACATATTCTTGCCAAGAAGGCGGCCCTCTTTTCATCACCTTCTCCGGGTAAATCAAGTCCGAGCCCATGACCATGTCGAAATGCCCCATCTCCAGCACCTCCATCAGGTCGTGCACCTCCTCCGCGTTGCCCCATCGAAGCTCCCTCGCGTGCGCCGGCCTCCCCTCGTCGCACTCCTTGTACTCCATCTTCGCCTCTTCCTCCTTGCCTTCTCCCGCGCTCGAAATGTTCGTAGAGATGTTCTGCGGGCGCGAACGTAGGGACACACACACAATAGAAAGGTTAAGAACGAAATTTGTACCATAGGGACAACGCCTCCACAAAACCATTCCCTCCATAAAATCATGCGGATCCAGCCCTCAAGTCTTTTTCCCGGGGCGGGACAAGGACACAAACCCGACGACATCCCAGGTAGGTTCTTCCACACGTTGAAACC